AACTCAGTACCTTCAGTGGGAAAATAAGCTTTTGCAATTTTCAGTGTAACACTACCAGTAATTTCAAAATACTGCCCTGAAATTTCCTTATTAGGTATTGTAGAGCATATCTTCACTATTTGTGGTGTGCATTTCCATCTATTTTCTTTACTTTTGAAATGTTAGTTACACTCTTAATACTGTTCTATTACCTTAATATCTGACAGTTTCAAGTATATGAGACCTTGTCCCTTTCAGCCTAGTCTGTAATTTAGATTACAAGAGGAGTTGCTTAAGTTCAATGACATGTGAAATGAAAGCCTATACTCATCAAATAAACCACCATGGTTCAATATCCTGCTTTCAGAAAGCTAAATTTGTTAAAAGGCCACATAGACCCTGTGCCAAATTCTTCTGTTGGCTTAATTCAGGGTTTTCAATGATGATAGTATAATTCAGCTTGGGATTTAGTCTGTTTTTTTCCCTCCAAATAACAGAATTGTTCATTAGAAATTAAAAATAATTTATTTTAGTTAACGTGAACTTGTATGATGCTAGTTGGAAAAGTAAGTGTTGCAAATGAGCCCTGTAGCTTTTCAGTTGTATTGTCAATTCAGTAAATGAGGGTAAAGAAGTTATTATAGAATTAGCTAAGATGGGGCTCATGCTGCTGGTTTAATAAAACAAGTTTTTTATTTTGTGATATTTAGATATTTAGTTAAACTAGATACTCTAATTCTGATGAAAAATTTTAAACGTGATAGATACAAAAAATCAAGGAAGATTTTTATAGGCACTGAAATCCCTGCATACAAGAGAATCACTTTGGTAAAGCATCCTCAAATGGACCCTGCAGGTAAACGGATCTGCACACTGCAGGTTAGGAAGTGGAAGGGAGAAGGAAGGTAATCTGTTTTGTCTGCCTGGGAACAATTTTTCTTCTGAGATGGGGGGATTTCCGTGCTGTGACTGTGAGTATTGTAGCAGGTGTACACCCATATGGATTCTCTGAACAAGGCTTCATCATTAACCAACCCCAGCATCTCATCGGCAGCTGAAATCAATATTTGATAGCTTGTAGGAAAGTGGAGTAGAAGGCACAAAAAGGAGACAAATTATGAATCGGATGAAAAAATAAATATGCCTTGATCTCATAGACAGTCAACTGAAAGAAAACCACAAGGGCTTGAGTTTTTATTAAAATGGTCTTAACACAAAGCTACTAACAGAAGTTATATTGGTCCTGTATTCCCACAGATTCATTGCAAAAGGGGATGACAAAATCTGTAGAATTTAATTCACAGATTCCAAGCCAGAAGTGATCATAGCAGCCATCTGAAATAAACCTTTAATATTTTTATCCGCTGTCAGACTAAACTAATTCTTGACATAAAGATATAAAGTGTGAACCAAAGGAGATAGATCACTGATCAGAGTAGCCTATCTTTCTTATTATTTTTGTTAGTTGATAACATTTTTGGTCCTCCTAATGTGTTTTCCATTAATATGGTATAATGTAAATCACATGTGATTTGGAACCACAGCATCATAAAAGAAGGCAAATGCTTCAAAAAAACCCCAATATACAGATTCTTAGTAGTTTCCTCTATCAAACATAGTCTTGTCAAAATTTTTTTGACAAGTTTTATACCCCATAAAATGCTATCAAGTGTGAATTATATTGCTAACCTGTATTTTGTAGGAAGAATCCTGGATTTATTGTGCTGCTATTTTACTGGGGAATGATGTCAAGTTAATTTATGTAAAGACCCTTGGTTATCTTTCTTCACCTTTTAATAGTGCAGAACTATTACACGTGGGACATTTTCAACGCGTTATTTGTGTACATCACTTAGGGAAGGTGGCTTGAAATTATGTGGTGCTCTTTGAGGCTTTCTCACATTCTGCTTAGCTCAGGACATTATGCTTTCTATTTTAGTGATGTCCTCAGATAATACATCTCCTCAATGCTCTGTTTTCTGCATGGTACTATTCTTAATTCATTACAGATCAAGCATTCTTTGTTTTTGCTCCTTTGAGTGACTTTGAGAAGTGCAGGGGATCTCTGAACTTCTATATCACAAAGATACCAAGATAATAAATCAATCTGTTTGAACAGACAGTTAAGGACTAGGTATTATTTTCTACTGTAGACTTTATGACTCTGGTTCAAAGACGAACTAGAAGCAAATATGTTTACAGCTCTTATTTGCGTCTAGGTTATCAGTAGAAAAAATCATCATGTTTTGTGGCCATTAACTACCCCATTATCCAGCCTGAGAAGTGCCCTGCAAGCTTTGACTGGAATAAGACTTCAGTATTATTTGATATGGTTACTTTTGAAGATCGTATTTATTCTTAGAACTTGTGTGATATTTTGATGGATTTTTCTTATATCTGAGAGTCTCCAGGCATTTTGCAAACATTCATTTAAATTTATGCACTTCAGGAGTTAACAATTGAATCCAGTATAGAGATGGAAGCCAAGGTTTAGTGAAAGGTGTGATTATCATCCACTAACATCTGCCTTTTATAAGGGGTCTCTGACTGTCAATTTTCAATACTCATAATCTAAATAAAATATCATTCTGAATTGAAAACAAAGGCCTTGGTTTACATCATTCACAGTATCTGCAGTTCCAAATGCTGTTTCACATTATGTGAGAAGAACCCTAAGAGCCACTTAGTCTTGGTTCTGTTAGTAACTTTAATGCCAACTTCTTTATGTGAGTGAAATTGTCTTGGTAGGATTTAATTAATAAAACACAAAAAATCCTGTTGAACAAGAGCTGATGGCACGTTGGACAACTGGAAGATTAGATGATTGAAAAGGAGTTCTATTCTGATATTGTTTACAAGGGTTGATAGAGATAAGACAACTGGGAATGGTTTTAAATTGAGACGGGAGATTTAGGTTATAAATTAGAAAGTTTTCACACAGAGAGTGGTGACACACTGGAACAGGTTGCCCAAGGAGGCTGCGAATGCCCCATCCCTGGAGGCATGCAAGGCCAGTCTGGATGTCACTGTAGGCAGCCTGGTCTGGTGGTTGGTGATCCTGCACATGGCAGGGGGGCTAAAACTAGATGTTCAGTGTGGTCCTTTTCAACCCAGGCCATTCTATGATTCTATGATTGTTGTTCAGGCTGCAAAGTGCATTAGGCTCACCTATGCACCATGCACTGTACTACTGGAAGATGAACACTGATCATTGTTGGTGGATGTTTAGTGTTTCTTAATTATATGCTCCATTTCTTACACTCTGATTTGTCCATGACTGGGTACAGCTCTTTGTCTAGAGAACTGGTGTGTTTTTTTTTTTGTTTTGTTTTGTTTTTGTTATTATTATTATTTTTTTTAATGGTATTTTAATATTGCTTATAAGTGTGGTCCTCAAGGAATTTTTATTGCTGTCGTACCTGAAAACACGTGCATGAAAATCTAAAAGTTGTAGAAATTTAAATGTCCTGTGTTAGCCAGTAACCTGAAATCAAAATAACTCTCTACAAAGTGCTGCCTCTTATCTTTCAAATGATTTTTTTTAATGTTTATTTTGATATTTTGATTTATTTATGATTTTTTGATTATAAAGAAAAATCCACATTTCCTAAGATACATAATCTTTTTTCTTAAACAGCAGCTCTGAAAATCCTGTCCTAGATTCCATCCACCCAATCCCAATTCCCAGCCACAATCTGAAATAGCTTAGTGTACTCTTTAAATGAGGCTTCATTAATTTTACAGAATGTACCAGAGGACATTCACTAATGCTGTATATCTGGAGTTTCTGTGCAGTCAATTAAAATGTAGCTACATTTTTTTTCTGAATAAGTGAAGCATATTTTTTATGATAGCATAACCTTTTTCTCCAGTCATATTTACTTGCTTCTTCATACAATTCAAATAACTGTAATGAATTTCTTAGGAATTAGTGAGGATTAATAAAGTTCTTCTGTGTTTCCTTTAGGCTTAATTTAGAACTTTCCACATTTTTATTGAATAAAAAAATAGTTCTGCTTGATTAAATACAATTTTTTTAACAATAGTTCTAAATGAAACACAGAACTAGCCAGTGCTCAATCTCTTTTCAGAAACAGTGATAAATTTGGAACTGTTTTTTTTTTTAATCATGGTTTACGAATTTATTGTATATTATCTATTATATCATTGCAGCTATTATTATGAATAAGGCAGAAAGCCTTTTTTTTGTAAGAATGACAATTTTTTAATTCATATTTTTTTTTCTTTAGCTCAGGTGTATTTTTTTTTTTTTTCTTATGTAAACTTCTCAGGCAATTTGTAAAAAGAGGAAAAAAATGCAAGGCTTTATGACACAGTGGTTTTATGTTTTACAAACATATCGTTTTAATCCTTTCTAGCAGGCCACTGACCTGGCGATCTGATATTCTGTGGCCTTGCACTCATCACAGAGATCACAGACTGTCTGCAGATATTGTACATATCTTTATCAACAGAATTGCTAGAGATATAAAATAGTACAGAGGTTTTCTTAGAAGTGCTTCCAAGGAGATATGGGACAGTGGTGTCCAGAAAAAGGTTTTTTGCAGAACTTCCCTTTGGTAGGCAGCTTTTGGTATACATAGTGACAGTGATTTCTAGGTCAGAGTGTTTTGTTTTGTGGTTCAGGATGTTAATTCATTCCCATCAATCCCAATGAATATGTTCTTATCACATAAAATGTTTCTTTTTAAATAAAATCATGTTTCTAAATGAAGTGAACGTACCATAGAGCATGAACTCATTAAGCTCATGAGGCAGGTGAACATTGAATCACAAAATGGTTTAGGTTGGGAGGGAACTTAAAAACTTAAACAGCATCCAGTTCCACCTTCTGCCACGGGCAGGGACATCTCCCACTGCATTATGATGTGTGCAGTTCTTCTCTCAGTCTTGTTTGCATATCATAATAAAGGTATTTGAATGACTTCAATATGCTGGTTTTCTCTGTTGTATTATTTACTCAATGTGTTTGCTAATTGTTAATGCCTTTGTTGTTGCAGATACAGCAGTGGTGTATAAAGATAGGAATGGACATGTTATTGAACTGAATGTAGAAACAAATACCACTACATTATTACTGGAAAACACAACTTTTGTAAGTAACACATTTTATTTCTTGCTGGAAGTCTGCTAACTTTTTTCCTGTAACAGCAGTGAGAGAGTACAATATTTAAAGATTGCAGAATATATGTTTGTAACCTAGAGTAGGATATGTACAAATGGAAAGTATCATCCATTTCTGTCAGTGCATGATTTCTGGCTTGTTATTTTATTCAACCTACATGCAAATAATTAATTGGTATATATGTTTTTGGCTGTAGTCCACGTTTTGTTCAGGCCATTTGAAGGATTGTCCCTGACATATCTGTTAGTGGATCTAGCTGTGTGCAACATTTCATAAAATAGGGAATTCTACCCAAAATTTGAAAGCTTTCTGTTATCAGAAGTGGGGGAAAGTGTTCAAAAAATCATACGAAGATTTTCCTTTAAGCAATTATGCAGAGAAAGAAAAAATTATTTCCTATTCCTGGTAATCAGAAGTTTAAGCATTCTTTACTGCTTTAATGGCAATTGGATGGCTGAGGATTTCTCTTTACCAGTAAATATTACATTCATGAGTAGCTTCAATATATTTCTGAGCAGCAGTTAATTGCTCAGAAATGTTATAATGCTTAGTTTCTGTTTTCCTTTGCTTGGCTTGGGGCTGTTAGTCTCAGTGATAACCTCTTACATCCTACCCTGTAATTCCTGTTTGTCAGGACTTTGCATTGTGAATGCATTGCTTGCCAGTCTTTCCTCCTATGTGCTCTGTATGGACCACTGACTGTTACTGCTTGTCCCTGTATTGTCCTTTGTGTGAAGTATTTTCCACCTGTAGACCAAAAAAGATTACTTTTTCTTTTTTTCTATCAGTGGTGTTTGAGAGGGGCTGATTTTATTTCTGGTGTGCTTTTGGCCTTTGCTGATACCAATTCTTCATTTCAAAACATAAAACCCTCAGTGAAGTTTCCTTTTAACTCATTGAACTGGAAAGAAGAGAGCAGAAGTTCAGGAAAGTGAACTTGATATCCCAGGTCCGTGTAAAGATGAAGGAGAAGGGAGGAGAAAGTTATATATTAAGGTAGAGTGTGCATAAGGCTCCCTTTGTGTAAGCTGCCCCCCACCATATGCTGGGGTGTGCCTCACTTTACATCCTAGCCCAAAAAAGACTGTCAGGCACAATGAAAAGTGAGTGAAAAGGTGAATTTCTGTGAAGTACAAACAAAAAAATGTTGCAGAAACACTTTCCCTCTTAATTCTGTATATCTGTGAGTGCTTGTCTGGCTAAGTGGAGGACTCACTGTGTTGGGCCTATACCTTCAGTGTGTAACTTAAATGCAAGCAGCTACTTGGACATCTCTGACTATTAAAGATAAATTTAATTACAGTTCTTGAGTTTCCTCACAAATGAATGCTTACACTTTTGGCTGCAAGTGTTTGGCTTATGCTATGTAGTGCCAGCATGAGAAGCTGTTCAGGCTATTATGCTAAACCAGCCGTGCCAATCAGTGATGAATCAGTATGGACAAACTGCTTCACACTGTGAGCGTTTCGTCTTGTCAGAAAGTTGCTCATGTTTTTTTATGGAGCTGATTCACACTTAACTGATACAGACTGACAGAGCTCTCAACATTAGATATCTACACTTCATTAAACGTGGGAAACTGATCCAAGATGGCTACTGTTCAAGCAACCATTGAATGATTATCTATGGAATGGAGCCAAATAAAGATGTGTGGGGTTTCTTTTTCCTTTTTCCTTTTTCCTTTTTCCTTTTTCCTTTTTCCTTTTCCTTTTCCTTTTCCTTTTCCTTTTCCTTTTCCTTTTCCTTTTCCTTTTCCTTTTCCTTTTCCTTTTCCTTTTCCTTTTCCCTTTCCCTTTCCCTTTCCCTTTCCCTTTCCCTTTCCCTTTCCCTTTCCCTTTCCCTTTCCTTTTTCCTTTTCTTCTCCCCTCCCCTCCCCTCCCTTCTCTCTTTTTTTTTTTCTTTTTGTTGTTGTTGAAGCTCCACTCTATATGGAGTGATAAGCTGTCAGTGTTAAATAAAGTAGATTCCAGACTGCCCAGGGAAGTGATAGAGTCACCTTCTCTGGAGGTATTTAAGGAAGGGGTAGATTATAGTACTGAGAGACATGGTTAGTGGGCATGGTGGGAATCTTTGGGGATGTACTTGATAATCTTAGAGGGCTTTTCTATTCTATGATTCCATGTTACAGAGCCAGGCTATATGTCTGAAAGCCTTATCTTCTAAGGTCCATTGTCCTCAAATTCGCACTTCTGAATGTACTCTTCCAAAGTTAAACACCTGGCTCATTAATCAAACATTTTCCTCACTCATTGTCCCATCTGTTAAATCAGTAGTGCATGATTAGAACAGCGCTGGTTTAACAACTCTTCAGAGCTGTCTTATTTTAATGAATAGTATTGTGCAGATCCAACATAAACAGTGGCAATACAAGTTCCCTTCTTCTGTGTTAGAAGGTTTCCATTGTGGAACAGTCAGCTTTAGATGGGAATTATTAACTTGCTTTTAGTCTGGATTCCCTATCCTGTTTGTGTGTGCTCAAGTTGCCCAAAGCAGGGGCAGGTTTTTCTTAGTAATGTCTGTTGAAAACAGAACTGCTGTGATAAACTGCTTGTGTAGGGAGAAGGGGCTAGCAGTGATATAAGGGAATTGCTTTTGAAGTGTGAAAAATATCTGTTAGGTTCTCTGGAGGTCTTAATTTAAAGATGTTTTCTAAACCACATCTGTATGTATGTATTTGTGTAGTGCATCTTGTTCAAGCTGTCTAGGAAATAGTTAATAACTAATAAATAGCTGCTATTTTGAGCCAGCAGCATGTGAATGTTAACAGCTGGAGACTGGGCAAGTCTTCTGTTAGATAGAGCCAAAAAAAGCCCGCACATTAATCACTGTGTGGCATCCTGATGTTTGTGATGCTGCCTCAAGACGTGATTACAATGTGTTCTCCATCATCTGTTTGAGATGCCTATCACCAGGAGTATAAATGACATGCTTACCAGTCATTTAGCACTTAGCAATACTTTATTGCACGTTACAGTTCCAAAATAAATGACATGATGCCACATTTAGCTAAGCAATTTCAGTGTTTAACAAGCATTTTATTTATACCTTTTGCTGTCACAAAGCCACAAAGAGCAGGTTGCCAATTCACCCACATCCTACCTACAAGGCCTGGATATTCTGGGTATTCAACCTAGCTATGAGGCCTGGGTATTCTGTATGGGGGAGGGTATGGAGGGCCCCATGGTTTCTTTTGCTTGTTGGAGTTGTTTGTCTGTACCCCTGCAATGCTTCTAGGTCTGCCTCCCTCATCAGTTTTATAGTCCTACAACCCAAAACAAAAATAATAATTAAAAAAAAAGATGAGAGGAAAAGTGTATGGGACTGTGTTCTGTTATGGTTGTTTCCAGATGGAGCTGGACTCAATGGATTCCTATGAGTCCCTTCCAACTCAGAATATTCTCTGATTCTATGAAGTGTGTTTTAAGACTCCTTTAGAAATTTTGTTTCATTTCTTTCTCTTAACAAAAAAGAATAACTGTGATAATGGTGGATGTATGCAAAAATATTCAGATGCCAGGCATGCTCACAGAATCACAAAATCACAGAATTGTAGGGGTTGGAAGGGACCTCCAGAGATCATCGAGTCCAACCCCCCTGCCAAAGCAGGTTCCCTACAGCAGGTCGCACAGGTCGGCATCCAGGCAGGTCTTGAACATCTCCAGAGAAGGAGACTCCACCACCTCCCTGGGCAGCCTGTTCCAGTGCTCCGTCACCCTTCCTAACAAACGCTTAGCCAGTAATGAATGTAGCACAACTACTTAAGGCTTTCCATTTCAGATGATGAGATATATTTTGAATAATCAAATAAGGAGCTTTTGATTTGTGTGTGATACCCAACAATGCAAGTATTACTGTTTTCAGCTTGGAAAATAGAATACAGTCTTGCATCCTAACAGGTTTCACCCAGCTATATGCTTTGGACTCTTCTAAAACCCTGCCATTCGTGACCAGGTTTCCCATTGGATTTCTCTGCCTTTCCACAACTTTCCTCAAACTCTGGGGGAAACTGCATCAGAGTGTGCAGCAAACAAATCTTACTGAACTGCAAACCTGTTTTCCAGTGGCTTGCTAGGAGCATGCCCTAGAGCATCATATTGTTGTGTTACTGCGGGCCATCTTTTACACAAGGATGGAGAGGAAAGGATTACTTCTTGCTGCCTGCCAATTAGTGGGTGGCATCAGAAGGGTGAGAGAAACAGAAGCCTTGGCTCATGAATCATGATTAGGCTGTGGCGGCCCAGCTGTGAAAACTCATAGAAGCTTTGCAGCCAAAGGCAGAGAATGAGAGTTTTAGTCTGAACAGCTTTTAGCAGGAACTATTTTGTGCTGTTATACACAATACTGTTCATAAATACCCCTTCTTGTTAATAGTTCCATTTTGATTTTTCTTTTTGTTTTGTTTGTTTTTTATCCCCACACATCCTTTCCTCTTTTGATGGGAAACTCAGTGTAGCATCTTAATGCAATTACAGTTCCTTTGTTGATTAATGTAGGTTTAATTACAAGAGTAGCTTACATGCTTGTATTTTAAGAGTCTTATATAAGAGATTAATGAAAGATTGAATAATTCTGAATGCATTAAACAACATTATATTATACAACCAAATAAATATTAAGAATTGTTACAACAGTGGACACTTTAATGAACTCCCCTTTTGCTAAATAGGTTATAGTGAACGCTGAAAATGTGATGTCATATTTAGCAATGTATGGAAAATGAATGACAAATTTAAGACTGTACAGGTGAAATATAACTAATTTACAGATAACAGTTTATTTGTTTAAAGTATTTTATAGTTGAATAGAGCTGATAGCTTTTGTAGGGATTTTAGGTCTCGATGTGGCAAGGTAGAGCAAATGTGAAGGAGATAAAGAAAATGACCTTTCCTTCTGCCTTTCTTCTGTCCAGGTTTGAAAGGGGACATGGGTGTATATGTAGGGCACAGTGCAGACAGAGCTCAGTTACCATCAGTCTGCTATCCAGCTTATTCTGTGCAGTGATGCAGAGGGAAACGAGCCCTGATTCTGCAGCCAGGGACCAGGCCTAATTAGCTGCATATCTCCCTGTTTCAAAGCTTATTTGTCCAGGGCTATAGTTCTTACAAATCAGGCAAAAAAAGATAAACATAGAGGCAGAATCATAAGGGACAGCGTTTAGATCTGTTTTTTTGAATAAGGCTCAACAGCTCCTCACAAAGCAAGGAGCTTGAAAAGTGGCTGATATGCAGACATGGCAGTGGAAGAAGCATTTTCCAGATGACAAAATGATGCCTAAGGCTTTTTTTAAATTTTTTTCCCCCCACTGTTTCCAGTATGATGTTTTTTCAATACTTTCTTTTTCTTCAAAATTCAAAACCACTCTTCTCCTGAGAAGAGAACCAATCATTAAGGTCAAACTCTTGACAAACTTCTATTTAATAAATAAACATATCTATTCCCTGTAGCAAACATCCCAGTACACAATCTCCCCAGGGTTTCAGCAGCATACATCTAGTTTCCCATAGAAAGGACTGCAGTTTTCTTTTAAATCCACCATGTGGTGATCTTATCACCTCAGTCAGTGAGTTGGTTGGTGTTACCTTAGGCACCTATAAGGGGAAAAAAGGGAATCTGTCTCTCTTTTGTTTTAGTCCACTGATGAATTCTGAGTTCATTTTCCATGGTGGACAGGAGGAATGGTTATAATGTGCTTTTTCTCTGTTTTTGAACAGGAAGGGTTTATTCTATGCACAGAAGTGCTATTTCTGAATTTATTTCTAAGATTGTCTGAAAACAAAAGAAAAAAAAAGTTGTAACTTAGACCCCTCTGAAATTCTATTTGAATTGAACATTTGATTCCTAGAAAGGTTGATTGTAAATCCAGCTTTAAAAATAGGTTAATAATGTTTTTAGGGCAATTTCAGTAAATCAGCATTGCTATCAGCTTTGGCTGTGCAAACTTGTTTTCTTATGGCCTTATTTTTGTTTTCTTGGTTCTTAAGTGGAACATTAAAAAGTACAAAATAGCTTTATGTTTTTTTTCATGAGAATTCCATTACACTGAAAACTGTTCTGCCAAAGCCATTCCCTGCAATCAAGAGATTATGTCTCAGTGGCATTGCGCTTATACTGTGTGTACAAGGTTTTGCTGGAAGCATACAAAATTTTGCAGTTGAGCACAAGCTGGATGAACAAAGTCATTTTCTGTAGGATTCAGATTAGTTTAAATCCCAAATCCACAAGATTCCACTTGGATACAGATATGAGAGTAGCTCCTGGTGATGGTGTTTCAGATTGCCAATACTTTGCAGTTGAGCTAGTCAGGTGTTAGCATTAATTGTATTACTTTTGTGGTGGTATAATAAGTAACTGAAGATTTTTATTAAATGCTGGAAATGTTAAGTGCCACATTCCCTAAGAAAGAATTGGGTTATCTGCCTGGGTTGCATACTGCTTATGAATGAGGTAGTAGGGACAATAATTAATAAACTGAACCAAATCCGAAAATTTTCACATCTAGAATATTTTCAGTGATGTGCCAAACAAAAGGCATGTTGTCCATGCATTTAGTTTCTGGTGGTTATCTCATGAGAGGTTCTTTGTACGTAGTGGAAATCTGTTCTTTGTACTTTATAGATTAAACATTTCCTCACAGCCTTAGAAGATCCTTTTGTCTTCTTGCCTCAGGACAGCTGATTTATCTTCATTCTGTTTGCTATTGCGCACAGTTTTTTTCTCCAAAAGTTATTTTTTCCTTTTGACTGGATTTGGGTAATTTGGTTCTAGTTATGTTACATAGTAACTTCAGTTTAGATTGTACATCAAAATGTTGCATCTTCTTGGCTTATTGGATGATTAGCCTTATGAATGAATTGGTCTATGATTTCTGGCTAGTGTACTCCTTAATCTTTAGATTAGCAGTAGGATTAGGCTAAACATAACAGGATGCCCAAAAAGCAAAATCAGAAAAGGTCTTTATATGTTGTACTGCAGAGCTATTCATACATTTTTCCTCATCTCGTACCTGTGTGCTTCCGTTAGTTTTTCTATACTACTTCTTATTTTAATTCTTTTACTTCTCCCTTCCCCTCTCATTCTGCAGATACCTCAAGATTCATTAAAAATTACTTCCTGCAACACACTTTAAAGCACACTTATATTTCTTCTACATTAGATGCATTAAATTTTTTTCAACATCAATGTTATCCTTTTATTGAGTTACAACCTTGAATTCTATTGGGTGTCATGTAATCTTAGCTAGATATAAAACAATGTTAGTTTTATATTGGTATTTTATGTTCCACTTTACCTTCCACTAAGCATTTTACTTCCTATAAGAAAGAAGATTTTTCTTTAGTGCAAACTGGCATGCAAAATGTTTCTGTGTGGTGTTGAAAGAAACATAGTAAGGACACAGTGCACATCTATTCTTTTTTGTAGTAGTAGTAGTAGTTGTAGTAGTTGTTGTGCATTATCTTTATAGCTTAACCAAGTGACAGGTCTCTCTTGTAGTCATTCCTGATGAACACACCAACCAAAACACCTTCCCTCTTCCTTTGAAAATGAATCGGTTTTAATTGCTACCTTTAAGCTTAGTGTCTGTAATCATGACAAGAAAAAAAAAATAAATCATCAGCTTCTGAATTTGTAATTGGTCTTGAAGCCAGATTCATGTCACCACTCTACTGACACCTGCAAATTAGACTAAGAATTATTGCAGTCCATCTTTTGTGTAAATTGAGGATTTCCTAGTCAGAACTGTTATGAATGGAGAATTATTAAATAAACTTTAATTTGGAAAAAAGTGATCTTTCCTTTTGTGTACTCACTTTTATTGTTACTTCATTTGTAGGTAACTTTCAAAGCATCGAGATACTCAGTTTCACCAGACTTAAGATTTGTTCTTCTTGCATACGATGTAAAACAGGTAAGCCAAAAGTTCATTGGTAAATAATCCTTTAAATTAAAAAGCAGAAGCCCTTGTTGTTTTGTGTATTCTGAATGTGACTCCACGTAACATAGTTTGAATCAAGTATTTGATTTCTCTTTCTATGACTTTCTAATAAAATGATGGTAACATATGTATTTAAGCAGAAATACTGCAAGGTTTTCAATTGAAATAAATTGCTCTGACTTCTCTGTAGTGTTCTACCTGTTGTATTGTGGAGGTTTCATAATCTTTAAACTCTTAGTAGCTGATTACATGAAACCCAATATGAAATATTCTAGAGGTATCTGTGTAAAATTACTCATTAACTTGAGATTAGATCCAAGTAGATATTTTTCTACTGATTCTGCTGGATTCATCAAACTTTTCTTATAGCATGTATGGACAGATCAGCAAGAAAGAGGTATTGTTTGGTTCACTGGTTTTGTTGTGGAGGGTTTGATTCTTATGTAAAAAATTCTTTCTCCTTACTGTTTCCCTTCTTCATTGTTCCTTATTATGGAAAGAGTTCTTGTAATCTTTCATAATAACTTAATTTCCTTATTTGACCTAGTGAAATTTTTATTTTGAATGAGTTTGTTTAGGATTTTCTTAGCAATACAGGCAATAGAGAAAAACGGAAAGTCATGAAAATATCCTCCTCACTAGACTTAAACGCAGCAGGGTCAGTGTTGAATCTGACCCTCAGTAAATGTGATCCACTGACATCAAACAGCAGTGATGGTGGTTAGCTTTGGATGAGGGTTGTGATGCTTTTTCTGGAGTCCTGTAACTGATCTCATGGTTTTCAAACAAGAACAATGTTTACATGCTCTAGAAGTGGTAGTGGCAGTGCTAAAACTGGTTAATAACATGCTGTTGTCAGCTCGATCCTCAGTTCTTGTTAGCAGTAATGCCATTGAATTTTCTCACGTTCCGAAAAGAATCTATTCCTTAAGGTAAGAAGGAAAATTACCAAAAAGTGTAGTCCACTTTCAAAACTTAGTAAAGTTACTATTGTGAATATGTGGTAAAAAGCAATTTTTTAATTTTTTTATTTATTTATTAAATATTCTGATTCTTGAGAAATTTCTTAGGCTGGTGAGGCACTTCCATGTTTTCTCAAAATCCTGGGGGATAAGGTGTACAATGCCTTGGGAAACCTCTGTATATCTGTGTCATTGTTTCTTGTATCATGAAGGAGTAAGATATTGCTCCTTTTTCCTGGATTGCCTTGTGTTTTTCCTCAATCAGAGCCTGATGTAGTGATTCTGGAAAAGAGGCGATCCACTCATCTTTCTTTTTCCACTTGTTCACCATCACTCATTAAATCAATTGTCTATAAAGTTAAGAAAAATAAACTTTGTAAATAAATAGAAGATTTTTAAATAAGTAGCAGGAGAATCAGGGGAGACTCTTTCCTCAGAAGAATGCATTTGAGTGTAGGACGATACATTTGAATATATCTTCTTACAAAAGTGAGGATTTGCTTCTTGTTGCATATTAAAACACAGTGGATTTTAAGGGGCAATGGTTTAATACCCTGTAAAAGGAACTGCAAATAACTTGCACGCGTTTAGGTGGCATCTCAGGAAGTTTTAATAGATCTCTGGACCTGTTTCCCTCTGTTTGTCACTTATTTTTCCATCTTTGTTATGGTTTAGGTGATTTAATTGCACTGTAAGATATTTGATGGGTTTTCTGCTCTTACTGAGTATTGAGGCTTTTTTTTAATGATAATGGTTGTTTACATACATTAGTATGTGTTCTTTGTAAAATACAGTGATGCAGCTGGAACAAAGTTATTAATCAACAGTTTTATGAATAAGCTAATGTGCTTCAGCTGAATGGATTGAAAATAATAGAGGCAAATATTTCTTCAAGACATTCTTTCATGGAATCATAATTAGAAATAAGGTTATTTTGAAGTTTCGATTAAAAATAAATGTTGAGTTAAATTTAGTAGTTGAATATTTATTTTACTATTGTCAGCATTTTCTTTAATCTATTTTATGCTTGAAATAGCAAACTTTAATTAAATTTGCAGTTGTTTCAGCACAATTAAGAATGTCCTCTACGCATAATGGCACATAAATCTGCATGAAAATAAGGCATCTTTGAGTACAAAACTAATAATTGAATGAATTATTTAAACCATGCTTAGTGGAAGGAGCAAAACTGTTCTATTTGGCATAGCAGTAGTTTTAGTGCATCTCTATAAACTTGGAATTCCTTTGCTGTGCAATTCAAAGCGTTGTAAATTGATTTCTGGACATCAGGATCTCCCCATCCTTATCATAGCAGATCATAAGATGTAAGCAAACATTTCTCTCATAAGCACTGCAGCTGTCTGGCAAATTCCTATTTTTTTTTTTTTTAACATAAGTCGTTTGCAGTTTTAGAGGTCCTTTCTTTGTACTCTTTGCTGTAGCATTCCATGCTTCTGAAATGCTTTCATCAATTCTCCAAATATTTGACTTTGCCATAACTTGCATGGATTGACTCTGTGTAGTTCAGATTGATATTCAGTGTAATTTGATTGGCATCACTGAAAAAGTCTAAGTTTTGCAAGGTGACAGATCAGTATGTGGGAATGAATTTGAGAAATTAACATGTGTTCTTGCTGAAAGTCCTACCAACCTGATTCTTCTGGGACCATGTGAATGCAACAGCAGCAGGGAAACCTTTGTGTGTATTGTGTGCAGAGGGGGGGACAGTTCTGCAGTGATATATCTTTTTGATTTTGATTTTTCTTTGAAGATTATCAAGGTATGAGCAGAGAATGTGATACTTTGAGAGTTCAAACATCTAAGCCAGTTGAGATTTCCAGAGGAAAGGTTGTTTCTCTATTGCTTTTAATAACGTGTGTGTTAAAATGACCTTTAAACCTTTTCTCACTCTGCTGGTGGTATTATTCACAACTACCAAAAACTGCATTATACTTTTGATTATAAAATGGAAATCAAACATTCCATTCTTGTGTTAATGGTAAAGGATGGGGCAGTAAATCTACAATTCTGTAGTGCAGTGAACACTTAGATGCAGAGAATTTCTTTTTGCCAGTGAGAATTTTGTATGTCTCTCAGCAGAAAGTTGTCCCTGGAGACCGAGTGAAACTAAACTAATTTTTTTTCTAAATACAAGTGCTTTTTTTTTTCTTTTTTTTTTTTCCTATCATGGACATCATAGGCATCTTCTCATCTTGTTCTTGCTAGAATATAATATGCCGTCATATAATGAATAATGAGCAAATGAATAAGTAAATGGGATCAATGTCTCTTTTTCTTTGTAAATCCTTTTGTTATCCTCAGTTGGTTTAATAATTTCTTCCTTGTGACTTACTGTTGTTTTGTTTTTTTTTCCTACAAAATACCCTTTCCCTTTTTTTGCTTTCAAATCCCTATTGAATACCAACTTTCAGGATTTTTTCCTTCTTCATTCTCTTTTCTATTTCTAATGCTTATTTTCCTCTTTCAGCCTATACTGTATTATTTGTGGTTTGACTTCAGCTTTTAGTTCAGAAACACGCTTAATAATATATTAAAATTCATCTCTAGTTTAGAAGCATAAGGATTTACAAATTCTCTAAAGTAGAAAATGCTTTTCCTGAGATGGGGCTTCAAAGTGTAATGTATTTTAGCTAGATAATTTTAATAAAATAGTGTATTTAGCTAACAGCAGTGTAAAAATAATAATTCTTATGGTAAGAATAGGATAAAAAAAATAATACTCTTCACAAAGAGGAGCTGTGAATCTAAATGGGTAGAATGTACATTTTTCATTCAGTAGGAATGAAATTTTTTTTCAAAACTGCTTCTGAATATTTGTAAATTACTGTATCGAAGGGAAGACAAGAATTCAGCAGCAAACCCCAAGAGAAAGAAGTTAGTTATCTGCGGTGTGTTGATGCCTGTCATCACTTCACTGCTGTAATCTCTATTTTTAGAGGATAATGATAGGGACTACTGACCACAGTCTATGGCAAATGGAGAGAGAATAGCACGAAGGGGTGTTCTCATCCAACTCTCAGAGTTTGTGTGTGATACAGGCAGCGTATCAAGTGCGCTGAAGTGCTCTTCAGGAGTTTATCTGCAGATTAGAAGAATCCATGAGGAGAAAAAATTCAGTGGAGCCTTAAATTATCTGATTGACATTAAGAGATTATCTTCCCACTAATTAGATGGAAATTAAATGTTCAGTTGTTGATAATCTTTTCAGTCAGTGAAATTAATCATTAGATCTTTTTCCTTTGAAAATTAAAGGATAAACAAATTACCTTGTGTTATTTCTTAATTTTAGTCAAGGCATTGTTTGGTGTTAAATACTCGGAATGTGTGCAAGTGTTTTCAACAAGATTTTTATACAGTACTTCTGAAAATCTGACTTTGAAGAGCATTATCTGGAGTATGAGCTGAAGTTTGGTAACATACAGGAAAAAAGATCAAATGAGAGCTGACTTCCAACACAGAAAAAATATTTACCATGAGGTCTGTCCTTTCAAAAGATTTCTTATATCAGTAATGATCTAGACAGTATTTTATGTACTGCTGTATATGAAGCAAATATCTGATATAAAATTCCTGCTATCGTTTTTTTTTTCTCCAGAAATGCATGTTTCTTCACTGTTTATGTCTCTTAGATCATTCTCTCTAACTAAAAAGGCCAATAACCTAGAAGATTAAATATTAAGCCTGATCTGTAATATCAGAGAATGAAATCAGCCTCTGAAATTTAATTACTGTTAGCAGATTTGAGATAAGCAAACCAAGTGAATGGGTTGAAAACATATTTCTCTTTGTTTGGAAATTACAGGAAGTATTTTTTTGGATGAAGACTGTGGTAAGGAAAGAAAGCGTGGGATTCCAGTCATGTGTTAAATTATATCTATTAATTATTCCTGAATAGTAATATGTGGAAACATTTGTGATAAACCTGGGTTTGCACAATATTTCTCACCTTTTACTGAGCCTCCCACATCTTGACTCTATGCTTATATCCTG